TCAGTATAAACAATTACAGTTAATAACTAAACATAGTACTTGGCTGCTATGTACATTGCATATAGTTACATTTCCTAAGAAAAGATGTATTTTTGCTGTTTGTATTTTGCTGCTTAATAAACTGATGGATAGGCTGGTGGTTAAAAAAAAAAGTTCCTTTAAAAGGTTGATTAGAGAAGACTGCAGGATTATAGTGACTAACACAGAAAGGATAAAAGATTGTTTGGTTTTGAGAGAGGAGTAGCAGATGAGGCCAGCAACATTTTTATAAAACACCATCAGAACAAAGTATTTTGAAATGTCTGGTAGTAGAAATTAATTGAATGCCATGTACACTTGCAAGTATGAAACATAGTACATCTGAGAATTAATGAGACAGAGAGATAATAAATTGACCTTTGAATTCCTTCATCTGTATTTCTTCCAAAAATAACCTCTATGACATCCTGAGGTCTAAGAAGGTAAGTGTAAGCTGGTGAAACAACTCAACACAAAAACACAGGGTTAGCCAGTCATGTTACGGAACAACAGTTAAAGCATCGGAATGTAACAATGTTTTTCTTGATCAGTTCAAGGTTTCTAACCCATAACTCTAGGTTAGACAATAGCCTCTCCTTGCCTGTTCCTAAAACAGTTGGTTTTTATACCCCCCCTCCTGAAGCACCTGTGTAAGCCTGAGTTGTTAACTCCTTATTTGCCATGGTAGTGTCTCTGTACCCTGTCATACTTACTTACTAAAATGGTCTCATTTTTTCATGCACATTTGAAAAGACATAGGATGCCAAGCACTGAACAAAAACCATAAGTAATCATTTGGGGCCTGTGACACTAAGCATTCATGCCCTGCACACCATTGTAATGATCTTTGTACAAAATATGCATTGTATGGTATCATTTGAAAACTAATAACTCACTAGTCAATAATGTCATAGTGAAATGTATGTAGTGACATTATATGTAAAGATATGAATATCCCCTGTATGGGAGAGATTCCAGAAGACTGGAAAAGGGCAAATATAGTGCCAATCTATAAAAAGGGAAATAAGGACGACCTGGGGAATTACAGACCCGTCAGCTTAACTTCTGTACCCGGAAAGATAATGGAGCAAATAATTAAGCTATCGATCTGCAAACATCTAGAAGATAAGTTAAAAGTAACAGTCAGCATTGATTTGTCAAGAACAAATCATGTTAAACCAACCTGATAGCTTTCTTTGACAGGGTAACAAGCCTTGTGGATAGGGGGAAAGTAGTAGACGTGGTATATCTTGACTTTAGTAAAGCTTTTGATACTGTCTCGTATGACCTTCTCATAAACAAACTAGGGAAATGCAACCTAGATGGAGCTACTATAAGGTGGGTGCATAAACTGGTTGGAAAACCGTTCCCAGAGAGTAGTTATCAGTGGTTCACAGTCATGCTGGAAGGACATAACAAGTGGGGTCCCACAGGGATCAGTTCTGGGTCCTGTTCAATATCTTCAATGATTTAGATAATGGCATAGAGAGTACACTTACAAAGTTTGCGGATAATACCAAGCTGGGAGGGGTCGCAAGTGCTTTGGAGGATAGGATTATAATGAAAAATGATCTGGACAAACTGGAGAAATGGTCTGAAGTAAATAGGATGAAATTCAATAAGGACAAATGCAAAGTACTCCATTTAGGAAGGAACAATCAGTGCACACATACAAAATGGGAAATGACTGCCTAGGAAGGAGTACTACGGAAAGGAATCTGGAGGTCATAGTGGACCACAAGTTAAATGAGTCAACAGTGTAACACTGTTACATGATGTTCACTTTTTTTGCATTAGCAGGAGTGCTGTAAGCAAGATATGAGAAGTAATTCTTCTGCTCTACTCCACGCTGATTAGGCCTCAATTGGAGCATTGTGTCCAGTTCTGGGTGCCACATTTCAGGAAAGATGTGGACAAATTGGAGAAAGTCCAGAGAAGAGCATCAAAAATGATTAAAGGTCTAGAAAACATGACCTATGAGGGAAGACTTGAAAAAAGTTGGGGTTTTTAACCTCTGATGCTAGGACAAGAAGCAACGGGTTTAAATTGCAGCAAGGGACGTTTAGGTTGGATATTAGGAAAAACTTCCTAACTGTCAAGGTGATTAAGCACTGGAATAAATTGCCTAGGGAGGTTGTGGAATCTCCATTATTGGAGACTTTTAAGAGCAGGTTAGACAAACACCTGTTAGGGATGGTCTAGATAATACTTAGTCCTGCCATAAGTGCAGGGGATTGGATTAAATGACCTCTTGAGGTCCCTTCCAGTCCTATGATTCTATGATGTTGTTAGCACATGTTCAAAACCAGACAGCCCTGCCTAGGCAAAAGTTGTTAGACAGGCCTATCCTAAATCAAGGAATATGTGTTCATCTCAATTTATGTATAAGTAGTATATAGAACAGCAGGAATGGCAGGAAACAGAACAATTTGGATTTCAGCAAACACAAGTGGGGGAAGAAAGAGCATGGAGCCTCCTTCACCGCCAGACTCCATGTCGCTGCCTTTACTGCATGAATAAACTTTATTTTGAAGGGTAACTCCACTTCAGAGGTTCACTGGATTATAAAAGAAAGGGGCAGAGAACCCCAAGTTAACTCTAAGAAGACAAAGGCATCGACGCCTTTGGGCCTCTGGGAGAGATCCTAACCAAGGAAAGGGTCAGTCACCATCTTGTTGGAAGATTGTGGGTGAGACAGGCCATCTTCAACAAAGCCTTGAATCAAAACTTGCTAGGTTAAGTTTTAGACTTTTAGATGTGTGTTTTCACTTTTATTTGCTTGTAACCATTTTTAACTTTATCTCTTATACTTGAATTCACTTAAAATCCTACCTTCTTTTGTTAATAATCTTGTTTTATCTTTAATCTAAACCAATTCAGTGTTTTGTTTAAACTGAAATGTTCGGTAAATCCAGTTAAGGTAGCAAACTGTTGAATATTGATTCTTTACAGGGGCAATGGACCTATATCTGAACAATCCAGGAGAGGGATGGACAGTGCAGAACACATTTTGGGAAAATTTGGGACTGGGAGTGTGTTGGGGTCACTGTGCAAGCAGTAACCAAGGCTGGTGAAAGCCAGAATGTGACTTATGTGTGGCTGACAGGCTGCTGGAGTCAGAGCTGCTGGACCAAGGCTGCAGCTATACACAGACCCTCAGAAGTGTGATCTGCATGCTGGGAGGCTGTTTGTGAGCGGCTCACGTTGGGAGTTAGAACAGCAAAGTATTGTGTGGCACCCAGAGTTGCTGAGCAGGCAGTGACACAACCCCTCACTGGTCTGGATTGCACCCTGGAATGTGACAGGGCCTAGTTGTGCCATTTGGGCACAGTGTCTTTTTGTAGTCAGTGTGGCGATTGTCCTACACTAGGCAAGCACTAGGAGCAATTCTACCTCAGGAAGTTCACAGAGAGTGTCTCCTGCTGCTATCCCCCTTTGAAGGATACAGTACAACCCTCCCAATTGGGTGCCATGCCCACTTTATGGGCTGTTGGGCAGATTGGCATGGCCATGACCCCAACCTCTCCCCTCAGTGCCCTCTTTGGGGTATTGTGCACCCCAGAGGTGCGTGGGGAGGGCACTTCATCACAGGGAGAGCAATACTGAGTGATCTGTGAGCAGGAGGGTTTCTCTGTGAGTCCTGCACTCCTGTGTAAGGGCCAGTCACAATCTGGTCCCATTTTTATGGCTAGATTAATTTTAACAGTGATATGCAGTATAGTAAAGTTTGATACTGAAATGCCACATAAAATGCAATTGTTAGTGGCTTATTGGGCCTAAGTATTAGGTTAGGAATCTCATCTGGCCCACAGAGCCCTTCATCCTGCTGAGTTAGATAAAATGAGCACCATGAAGGTGAGTCTTTCAGAGGAGTCCTTAAATAATCAAGATCTTGTGTGCTGTGTGATCATTACAGGTCCCATGGCACTAGTAAGAGTTAGCCATGATGTCTTTGCCCAAAACTTCCCTTCCCCATAATATCTGCATTGAACTGTGTGCCAGTTGGTTGCTGTCCTCCACTTCAATAAGCAGCATATAAAGAAAAGTAATCCCGACCATTTGAACAGAAGCCATTGTAGTCAGTGGATACCCTATTATACGGCAGGTAGTATAATTTTTTATAGCCCTGATCCATCTCATGTGAGTGAGGCCAGAAAATAATGGTCAATTTTCTACCAGCACTTTTGTGCCAGAGCTTTTGTTACAGCAATCACCATCAATTTGGGCTTGATTCCCTGTATATTGAGACTATATTTATACAGGAAAAGTCTCTCAAACCCTTTGACATCCTGAGCGCCACGATGCTGGCCAGAATCACTCTCCCTATCAATGAAGGAATCTTAGAACCAGCCAGAGTGCTATAATGAACCCCGGCCACTCTTCCTCCCACCTCCAACTCTGTGGAAAAATAGTGTCAGGTGATGCCGAAAGGCTTCAAGCACTTTTATGCCCACCCAAATCCAAGGTCCTTGGTCATCTCTGCAATGCAAGAGAAATCAAAGTTCACTAAAGGTGCTCCTAAGGACGAGCACACTAAGATGTTACATCTGTATGGACAGATTCAGACTGACTTATACACATGCAACTACCACTCTAACAAATTTGGTTAAAACTGGAGCAGCAGAGGGTAGGAATTTTCATAGAAGTCGACTAGTTTAGAATAATTCCTCTAGGAATACTGCATGGTTGCAAATCATAGGCTAAAACTTCCAAGGCTCACTGATTTAAATTTCCCAATTGAGGCCTGCAGGCTTAGCTTTGTATATCAACAGAATTAAATAGTTTGACATTGTAGATGTCTCTGATGTTATCCAGTTCCAATCTGAGTAATTTAGAGCAAAATACTGTAGCAAACACTTCCCTTTTTGATAAAGTATGTTATTTATCTTTCCTTGATGACCATCCAACTTTCTTTCTTTCAAGAAAAATGTAACCCTGTTTATTTGTTAAGTAATACCAACTTTTTGTACTTTTGTATTTAGCTGATAAATTTAGAAGAAAACTAGAAGAACTGGAGCGAGAGAAGAATTCTTTAAAATTTCAGCTTCCTTCCAGGCATCCTTCAATTATCAGCTTCTTGGACAGATTCAGTGCACAAGTTCAAGCAGCGTTGTACTGGGCTGGAGATCGGTAAGTTCACTGGAGCCTTATGACATGGGACTATATTTCTGTTTTTCTTGAAGTACTGTGTACAAGTTATGGCTAGATTTTAATATTTAATATTTAATATAAAATTTTAATTTTAATATTATTTGTTATAAACTATTCTTGTATTTCGAGAGACACTATCAACTTGAATTATTGGAAACTGATTAATTATAAGAGATTTGTTTTCTGATGGGGGCACCCTCTAAATTGTATGTCCTGAGTATTTTAAAAAAAATGTTCATGAGGGTTTTTCTATTCCCCTGCTGAAGACTAGGGCCTTGACTACACTTGCGAGTTACAGCCCTGTAAAACCACCCCCAGCGCTGTAACTCACTCCCCGTCCACACTGGCAAGGCATTTGCAGCGCTGTATCTCCGTGGTTGCAGCGCTGCATGTTCTCCACTTCCCCGAGAGGAATAGCGAGTATTGCGCCGCCGCCACGCTGCAGCGGCGCCAGTGTGGCCGCCCAATGCGCTGTGACTGGCCTCCAGAAGTATTCGGCAGTATCCCACAATACCTGTTCTAGCCACTCTGGTCATCAGTTCAAACTCTACTGCCCTGGCCTCAGGTAACCAACCATGTGACCCTCCCTTAAAATTCCCCGGGAATTTTAAAAATCCCCTTCCTGTTTGCTCAGCCTGGCGTGGTGTGGAGTGCTATCAGTGAATCTTTCCAGGTGACCATGCCTCCACGCGCCAAGCGAGCCCCAGCATGGAGCAATGGCGAGTTGCTGGACCTCAACAGTGTTTGGGGGGAGGAAGCTGTCCAGTCCCAGCTGCGCTCCAGCCATAGGAATTACGATACCTTCGGGAAGGTATCAAAGGACATGATGGAAAGGGACCATGACTGGGACGCCCTGCAGTGCAGGATTAAAGTGAAGGAGCTGCGGAGTGCCTACCGCAAAGCCCGCGACGCAAACGGCTGCTCGGGTGCTCCCCCCGCGACCTGCCGGTTCTACAAAGAGCTGGATGTGATACTTGGGGTTAACCCCACCTCCACCCCGAGCACCACCGTGGACACTTCAGAGCCGGGGTGGGAGGAGGAGGAGGAAAACGGGAGTGAGGGTGGTGGGGCGGATGGAGACGCCCCAGAATCCCTGGAGCCGTGCAGCCAGGAGCTCTTCTCGAGCCAGGAGGAAGGTAGCCAGTCGCAGCAGCTGGTACTTGGTGGAGGACAAACAGAAGAGTAGGTTCCCGGTAAGCGGTTTTTTTTTCTGGAAGGAATTTTTTCGGTGCGGGCTCTTTGGGAGAGGAGGGTTAGGCATGCATGCCTAGATGCGGAATAGTGCATTGATGTGGTTTATCACATCGCGGTAATCGACCTCGGTAATCTCTTCAAATGTCTCATCCAGAACGTGTGCAATGCGCTTGCGCAGGTTTATCGGGAGAGCCACCGTGGTCCTTGTCCCAGCCAGGCTAACGTGTCCCCGCGAGGGGCGGGGGGATCATTGCTGCACACAGGCAAGCTGCATATGGGCCAGGGCAGAAGCCACATTGCAGTAGAAGACCCTCCCTTGCTTCCCAGGTCACCCTCAGCAGCGAGATATCGTCTAAGACGAACTGCTGTGGAAAATGTTGGGACAGTGTTCAGTGTAGGTGCCCCCTGCAGCTGTTGGCTCTCCCCAAGGCACAGAAACCCAGAGGACAGTACAGCCCTGAAACAATCAGTCCCCCTTACTCACCATTTTGAGGCTCCCGTGGGTTATGTGTGCTCTGTTTGGGACGGGAAAATTATGCTATTGTGTAGATAGACCCTGTGTGTGCCCTCCTTAAGTGCGGGGGAAATCATTACTCTGTCTGCTATAAACAATGCTGCCTCTGTTAAATGTTGCATTTGCCTATACAGCTGCAACAACCTTGAGACCTCAGCCGTCCCTCTTATCGCTTGCTCAGAGACTGCAAAGACTCAGGAAGAGACCGCGAAAAACCAAAGAAGACGTGCTGCAAGAAGTGATGCGGCAATCTATTAAAGAGAATGAAAAAGTACAGAACTGGAGGGAGAGAGAAAGCAGGATCCGCCAGGAAAACGCAGCGCACCGGCAGCAAAGCACGGAGCACCGGCAGCAAAGCACGGATCGGCTCATAAGCATCCTGGAGCGCCAAGCAGACACTATCCAGGAGCTCGTAGCCATGCAGAAGGAGCAGTAACGCAAACGCCCCCCCTCCCCACAGCCCTTGTCCCAAAACTCTTGTGCCCCACTGTTACTCCAACCCACTTTCCCCAACTTCCGGGTTCTTCATGCCACCAGCTGCCTCCAACACCAGTATCTTCACCATCCAGCCCTGAAAACCACAACCCTTACCCTGTGCACTCAACCCCCATCACCATGCAGTATAACTATCCTGAAGTGCAGCACTCACTGCACAGCACACCAGACAGGACATACGCGAATCTATGATTGTACCGTTCCCCACTCCACCCCCTTGCCCTTTCTGATTCCCAAGCAGTTGTTTCTTTTCAATAAATAAATGTTCTTTTCAATAAATGGATTTTTTGGCTTTGAAAACATTCTTTATTATTGCATAAAGTAAAAGATTCCTTAGCCCAGGAAATAAACAGGCACTGCAAGTCTGCTTAGCAAACACTGATTCCTAAAGATTGGAACTACTGCACTTCACTCCCGTGCAGGGCACCAGATATCACTGCTGGTTTTCAGCCTCAAATTGCTCCCTCAAGGCATCCCTAACCCTTGCAGCCCCGCGCTGGGCCCCTGTAATAACCCTGCTCTCTGGCTGTGCAAATTCAGCCTCCAGGTATTCAATCTCGGAGGTCCATGCCTGAGTGAAGCTTTCACCCTTCCCTTCACAAATATTATGGAGGATACAGAATGTGGATATAACCGCGGGGATGCTGTGTTCGGCCAAGTCCAGCTTCCCATACAGAGATCGCCAGCGGCCCTTTAAACGGCCAAAGGCACACTCCACAGTCATTCGGCACCGGCTCAGCCTGTAGTTGAACCGTTCCTTGCTACTGTCAAGGCTACCTGTGTAGGGTTTCATGAGCCACGGCATTAACGGGTAAGCGGGATCTCCAAGGCTCACAATGGGCATTTCAACTTCCCCTACTGTGATCTTCCACTCTGGGAAAAAAGTCCCGGCCTGTATCTTCCTGAACAGCCAAGTGTTCCGAAAGATGCGTGCGTCATGCACCTTTCCTGGCCAGCCTGTGTTAATGTCAATGAATCGCCCACTGTGATCCACAAGCACCTGGAGAACCATAGAGAAATACCCCTTCCGATTAACGTACTCGGATCCTAGGTGGGGTGGTGCCAGAATAGGAATGTGCATCCCATCTATCGCCCCTCTGCAGTTAGGGAACCCCATTTGTGCAAAGCCATCCACTATGTCCTTCACATTACCCAGAGTCACGGTTCTTCTGATTAGGATGCGATTAATGGCCCTGCAAACTTGCATCAACACGATTCCAATGGTCGACTTTCCCACTCCAAACTGGTTTGCGACCAACCGGTAGCTGTCTGGAGTTGCCAGCTTCCAGATTGCAATAGCCACCCGCTTCTCCACTGGCCGGGCAGCTCTCAATCTCGTGTGCTTGCGCCGCAGGGTGGGGGCGAGCTCCTCACACAGTCCCATGAAAGTGGCTTTTCTCATTCGAAAGTTCTGCAGCCACTGCTCATCACCCCAGACTTCCATGACGATGTGATTCCACCACTCGGTGCTTGTTTCTCGAGCCCAAAAGCAGCGTTCCACGGTGCTGAGCATGTCCGTGACTGCCACAAGCAATTTCGTGTCGTACGCGTTACGCGGCTCGATAGCATCGTCGGACTCCTTACTTTCACTGTCACTTTGGATCTTAAGGAATAGTTCGACAGCCAAACGTGACGTGCTGGCGAGGCTCGTCAGCATATGCCTCAGCAGTTCGGACTCCATTTCCTGCAGACAGATCGCGTTGCACAGAAACCGTTGAAAGATGGCACCAAAGGTGGACGGAAACAAAGGGATTTCTGGGATGCGAAGTGATGCATCACGGGGCGTTGGGACAGGACCCAGAATGCCCCACACCCACACCCCCTTCCCACAACCCACGGCGCCAGAATGGGAAGAGGTGCTCTGTGGTATAGCTGCCCATAATGCACTGCTCCCAATGGCGCTGCAATTTCCGCAAATGTGGCCACGACAGTGCGCTGGCAGCTGTCAATGTGGACAGACTGCAGCGCTTTCCCTACTCAGCTGTACGAAGACAGGTTTAACTCACAGTGCTGTACAGCTGCAAGTGTAGCCAAGGCCTAGAAGTGTCTTTTGTGCAGGTCTGAGAGCAACAGTACCAACCACGGTCAGACCTAGTTCTTGCTTTTCACTCTTGTCTCTGTGCACACGAGTCTCTGCTGTCTTTTCAGATTCAGCTTGGCTATTGCTTTTATTGTTAAACACCTTTTTTTCATTTGTGGTCTTTTGCATTTGACAGCACTTTGTATATACTTTCTCTGTTTTGCTGATAGAGTGTACTCTTCCTCAGGCTCTGCAAGAAGGTGTTTAAAAATCTTTTAGGCACAGTAATAGTTTAAATAGGGCTAGCTGGAAAAAAAATCTGTTTTGTGAAAAATGTTGAAGTTTTAAGACTTGTTTTTGTTCCACAGTGGAATAAAATCAAGGTCTTTTGAATTTTTCATGGGGGAAAAAAAAAGAGAGAGAAAGAGGAGCAAGAGAGAAACACTCAGCCCAGAACAGCCATAGCTTGCTGGTTAGGGATGTGGGAGATCCAGGTTAAAGAACCTAGGTCTCCCATATCCCAGGTGAGTGCCCTAACCACGAAGCTATTGGCTATTCTGGGCTTAGTTGGTCTGTTGGTCAATCGATCTATCTGGTTTTGATGAGAAATTCCACACTGGATCAGAGAAAACTTTTTTCCACAAAAATTTCATCAGAATTAATATATTTCTGTGAAAATGTTAGGTTTTGACAAATTCACATTTTCTGATGTAAGTTTTTTTTTTGTTTAAAAAAAAAAAAAATCCTGGCTGGCAGTAGCTTTAAGTTACTCATAGTAACACAAGAGCAGGTTCAGGATATTCAGAGGAAATATGATTTCCAAGTTTAAGAATAACCCTTGTTACAGTGGCGTGTTTGTAGGTTCTTCACCAGCCAGTCAGAAATCTTCACCCTTTTGAGAGCTGTATGAAATGTCACTTAGCAAAAACAAGAGCACTTCAGAGCTTCTGGGAATCCTGTACAATTTGGCTGGTGAGGAGGTAATGATTTGTAATCAGTGTAAGGCACATACACATTAATGGTCTAGCACTTTAAAATACTACACATAGATGGTTGCTTCTTGTACTTTGTTTTTGCCTAAGTACGTGTATATAATGGTCATGGAACTTTGTGTTCTTGCATTCTTGCTGATATTTATATTAGAGCTAGACTTTTCCAGTGATGTGGGATTCTTTTCCAATGTGTTTATTTTTACTTAATGTTTAGGAAACAAAAAAAGCATTCAGGTGCACCTAAAAGCATCATTCCAACAGGCCCTCTTGACTGCTCATTCAAAACATTTCTTTTTTTTATTACCCATTTCCTCCTCTCTTCACTAACTTTGATGTTGTATTGCATCCATCCTGCACCACGTGTCTTTTTTCTCTCTCTCTCTGTTTGATGGTATCATTTGTAATCTAACATTGCTTTTTCATTTTCCTTAATCCCATTTGTTCTCCAGCAATCTCTGTGATAGACTCCCGAAATAAAATCTACTCTTCCTCCATGGTAGAATATTTTTTGGAAATCGCTACAGGGTAACTATTAGCAATCACTTCATCATGAAGCTTATCACCATTGAAGCATTTTGATGCAATAGATATCCATCTGTGGAACTCTATTAAATGGAACATCATTGTTGCTATTAAGAGTCATTGATCAGTTTCTGGAGCAAGATTAGCACTTCTAAATATATGTACCTCCCGGATGAGTTTAGTCAAGAATTTCTGAACTAGAAGTGATCCAAGGTTACCCTGTCACCCGATGGATAGTTAAATGTATACATATGGCAATTCTTGTGCTGAAACCAGGTAGCTGTTAAAAATAGGCCATATGTAAGAAGCAAATTCTAATAGACACACACCATTATCGATTTCTCTTCCAGTAAGCTGTGTGGTCCCAGTACCACCTCAAATCTAATTCTGTCATGGCCAGTTCTTGTGTTCATATCTCCGAAGGTGGCAATATGAACTTGGGGTGATGTATTAGATACAGTGTCATCTAACATGGCATAAAAGCATCTTTTTCAGCATTAGGGCTTGCCTCAAGTGGAGCATACCACACGTCCTACCTTCAAACTGAAAATAGCAGCTATCAGGTGTCGAGAATAAACCTGCCAAGTCAATAATACAGATTTTGTCCTTGGGGACAAAACCAGAGCAACACCAGTGTGCCTATCAGATGTATTGCAGGCATCCAACAATCGAAAAGTCTGACCCACTATGAATCAGAGCTGTGCTCATGATGTTCAAATTCCACCCTGTCTCCTGTGTGCTGCTTATATCAGCTTTCAACCTTTTCAGTTCTTCAGCCAGGAGAGAATCATAGAATATCAGGGTTGGAAGGGACCTCAGGAGGTCATCTAGTCCAA